GAGTAACTTACTACTCCACGGTCTGGAGGGTTCCCTCTTGTTCTCCAGGTCAAGCTCTGTCCCTGCCAGGTTTTCCTGCTGCCGGCTCTGCTACCGCCATCCTGGCTTAGGGCCACAGGCACCGCTGTATATAGTGGTTACTTCACCTTATGCTAGGGGTTGGAGGCCTGGACAGCCTTGTGCAGCACCAGGGCTTGGTCTGTTCCCAGACCCTCCAGGCAGCGCTGTCTGCACTGAGCTGCTGCCCCGTGTCAGCAGCTGTAGACCCGAGCCACCTCAAGCAGCTCCCAGGGTCTCTCACCCTCCGTGCAGCGCCTCCTGCACCCAACTCCCAGCCCCTCCGTGCAGCGCCTCCTGCACCAAACTCCCAGCCTCACTCTGGGGTTGAGGACCTGAGCCACCCTAGGGGCTCCAAAGATCCTGCTCCATGCACCAGCCTGTGCACTGTCTCTGGTCACACGCCAGAGGTTGCAGACCCGAGCCACCTCACATAGCTCCCAGGGTCCAGACACCATGCACCCTGCTGCATACCAAGAGCCTAACCACTGGAGCTGTCCCCCGCTCCCGGCTGATAGAAGTCTTTGGGGGCTCTTCTTGGGCTACTGCTTCACCCTGCTGAGCAGCTCTCCTCAGCTCTTCTAACCCCCACTCTTCTCTCTTCTCAGTCCTCGATGCATCTTCCCTCATGCTGGGCACGCAGCTCCTTTTATACGCTCCAGGGCTCCGCCCCTGAAGTCTGCTGGACCTGACAGTTTGCAGTCTTCAATCAGGTCTGGGAGAGCTCTTCTCCCCCTCCCCTCAGAAAAGGGGCATGATGTTATTTCTCTTGCTGCCTCCTGATTGGTGGATGGGCTCCAGCAATCAAAACAGCAGGATCTCAAGCCTGGGGTTCAACCCAAGCTCTGAAAGGTAAGCCTGCTACATAAGTAATCAGAAACTGGCTCAAGTCTGTAACACAACAGAAGTTTGGTGCACATGAACTGCTTTCAAAATGGCTGAAACCAGTTTAAGATAAGTCTGTATGAATGTAATATCAGACTTAACCAATTTAGGTTAAATCAGTTTATTGGACTTCTGCTCCAGATCCCCATCAAATTCAAGTTAACTCACAGCCCCCCAGCATCCCAGGATGCTTTGCAGCATCCTCACAAGCTCCCCCTTGCAGGGTGGGAAGGCTAGCCTTGGCCCAAACTGTCTGCTCCAGCAGAGCAGGGAGGCATGCTCTAGCAACCCACAGCTTCTGGCCTGAGTCACTGCAGGCAAGTGGCTGCATTTCCAGAATCAAAAGTGAATGTCTGTTCACTTGCTTAGAAATTCAATCTATGTAGTTTAGACTAACCTGCAGAGATTGGATCAGTTCAGCCTCGGGCTTTTTGACTAGCTGTACTTAGTCCATAAGAGTTTGGCAGCTCAAGGAAAATAGGGTTTCAAGTTTAAGACCAATCCACTGCATGATTTCTCCCAAGGACATAGGCTGGACCACAGATTAAACTAAGGAGCAGTTACTTTTACCTCCCTGACTAATAGGCCTAACACCTTTGCACTGCCATTTTCTGGAATAGATGTCGTTTGGGGGACAAGGTAGATGAAAGACACACTGCAAAATAAAACTGTACTGATGACTGTCTATGCTTACTTCAGGGCTCTTGTTAGGGACCTGATCCTGCAAAACTCCCAGAAAAAGCTGTGGCTCACAGAAACTCACAGCACCAAGCTCTGGCAGCATTGCCTAATAAAGCAATCCCCATTCTATCACTGTGTCAGTTAGCACCACATACCACACACTTGTGCAAAACTTCTGTGACCACACCTCAAGTCAAGCTATGCAAATAGGCGGCAGAACAAGCTTTATAACACAAAAGTGCAGTAAGTTTAGGGCTAATTAGTTACCAAGCCAGAAACAAGCCCACCCAGAGCAGGAAGCATATGGCTCAGTGTGAACTGAAATTTAGAAATTTCCACCATATTATTGGGAATATTTTATCAGGATTTTTATTGTTATAAAAATACCAATGCAACTTTAACTGGGTAGTGGTTATAATTCAGTAACAAGGAGTCACATGATTCCCCCAGAGGCTCAGGTTAGCGAACAACATTCATTAAACTTTGACATTTTATAGCCAGGCGCAGTTGTCTTAAAACCAGATTTTTTGCCTGAGCTTGTCAGAAGCCTAAATGGCCATGCAGAAAAAAGAAAGCTGTCCTAAAAAAATCTTCAGATGGGGTGCCTACTTTTTTCCCTATGTGCTAGGCCTGTGGGGGGGATGAGACTCTATGTCCATTCTATTGAGCACTCTGTGGGGGGAGCAGGATTACAACTTCCTACTAATACGGAAATTAAGACACAGGCTTTTAGGGCTTGGTTCTAAATTATAATAATTTCCTACTGAAAAATCAAGATGCATCTCTGGAATTCAAACTCTTATTTAATCTAAGATTTGTTTTTGACAAAGACAGCAACTGGGCCAAATGACTAATATCTGTTTTGTCCCTGGGAGACATCACAAATGCATTGCTCTGTTTCCAAGTTGAAAAGAGTGTGCAGTTCCCTTGCTTTCCCAATCTGAAACAAGGCAGCCCCTTTTGGTCATGAGGTTACAGCTTTGAGGCAGCTTTTGGCACCTTAGCATGCTGAATTTCATCATCCAGCCTTTTGTTTATGTGGGAGCTCCTACTGAGTGAAACACACCCACCTCTCTACTCCCTCTTAGCCCTAGTGTTTTACCCACTATTTTTCTTGAAGCCTGAGCTCATGGAGTCAAGCAATAACCCAAACATATCCATTTTAATTTAAAAAGAAGCTCTCAACCTTTGCTGTTATAGAGCAAAGCTTGAAACCATAACTCTTAACACCACCACCAAGTAAAAGGTATTCAGTAAATGGTATTCACAAGTCAAATGTATTTGTATTGTGATATTTAAGTCAGTTGAATAATTATTTGAGGGTGGAAGAGGGGTTGAATGCTTGAGGGTCATGGACTCTTACTTTTGCAGGGGGAGGAGGGAGGACTAAGATGATGAACATAATGGAAAGTTGTATGCATTTCAGGTGACTGCCCTCTTCATGAGAGGGACCAGGGCCCTTGGGCCCCCCATGTACATGGCACCTCTGCTTGAGACTAGTCATGGAGTTTGGGGCCTAATTCAAGATATCTGATCACAATCTAAGGGGTAATAGGCTTAATATAAATTGTATCACACCTGGTGAAGGAAAGAAAGCGAACTATGTTCTCCTTACCGCCGGCAGGTTCTCCACTAGGCACACTTTTTTTTTTTTTTTTTTTTGGGGGGGGTGGCGCGGAATGAACCAGGTCAAGAGACCCAGCAATCAGTCCTACACACCCAGAAACACCAGGAAGGGGTTTGACGGATCAGCCTCTTAGCCATGCACAAAACCAATAGCTGGACTGAAAAGTTCACTAAACAAAAAACTGTTGTATCTACATGAATTAGAACATAGCAGAAGCAAAGCAACAGTGCTAATTCCAGGCTCTCCATCAGCATCAGTATTAGCAGCCAGATGATCACCTGCCCCTAAATTTTGTTATAATAAACAAGCACAAAGTGTCTCAGTGGAAGCCACTGGAGCCCGTTCAGTTTCACTCTCTAAAAGGATATTGTTCTATGGATAAAATTTCCATTCAAACCAGACAGACAGGGAGTTTATGATGAGACATTCCCAGAGCAGACAACAGGTTTAACCAGTGAGGCTGAAGTCATGTTAACAAGCAAGAAAAAGCCAAAAGGCTGAAGAAAAAAGAGTTGTGGAAGGGGGGCACAGTTCTCTTTCAAAACATGGATGTCCATCATTAACAGCAAATTTCTTGGATGAGCATGCTGACAGCTGGGTGTGCCAGGGTGGTGCTGGTTGGGCTTTCTGACCTGCTTCTCGTGGAAGAACTACAAATCTTTTTTTTTCCCCTGAAGTTTGACAAATCCCGATTCTTTTTTATTACAGATTTCAAAACAGAAACCATTAAAAGGGCAAAAAAGCAATATGCCTAGTTTCATCCAGCTGCAATGCATGAGTAATCAAGGCCCTGACTGTGCCCTAGGGAGAAAATAGGCAGACTGCTGTATCAGAAAAAGCCTTCCTTGTTCTGGTCAATTGGGCTTTACATGGATGTGGAAGTCTGCAGGAAAACTACAAAAATGACACTTACTGTCAAAGCCTGTTCCATCTACTTCAACCAGCTCAAGTGCCTTAAAAACCATTAGGGCGAAAGGTGGGAGGGTAGGTCCTTCTTGCTGCTGCTTGTGAATTTATTGAAAAATGAAGGTGTTTTATACAAGAGATGCTTTTCATGAACTCAGGCTGATACAACAGGATTGTGCTTAGGTGCCTAATAGGATCTGGCCTTTAGCATTTTTGAGAAATGTCAGTAAAGTACACATTACACTGCTAACTAGAATCTAACTATGCAATACAATCCACTTGGTTCAGACTCCTGTGCCCTTGAAATAGTTCCACTGAATGGACCAGAGCATATAGCATGGCTCTCGCTTGCAGGACTTTGGCTTTCTTGACTACGGGGTGTTGTTCCAAGAAGAAGGATTGCTAGGAAGAGATTGGATGCACCTAATAAAGAGAGGGAAGAGCATCTTTGCAGTCAGGCTCACTAACATGCATACAGGACTTCCACCTAATGCAGGAGGTATACAGTCCCACTAGGGGAAATGCCTTACTGGACTTGGTGCTAGCTACAGGAAATGACCTGGTGGGGGATCTGCAGGTACAAGGTAACCTAGGAGATAGTGACCATCAATTGATTGAATTCACTATCCGGCATAGGGTGGGAAAAGTAACCAGCAGGGCAGAAGTGCTAGACTTCAGAAAGGTTAACTTCAGTGTGCTCAGGAGATTAGTGAGGCATTGAAGATCAAAAGCATTGGCAAGATGGGAGTTCAGGAAGGGTGGTCATTCCTCAAGGGAGCAATCCTTTGGGCACAGAAGGAGACAATCCCATTGTGCACAATATGGGGCAAAGGGGCCAAGGAACCCTCTTGGCTGAACAGGGAAATCCAGGAAAACCTAGGAGCAAAGAAAGAGGCATACAGACTGTGGAAGCTGGGGGTAGCTAACAAGGAGGAGTATACCTCCTTGGCTCACACTTGCAGGGAGGCAGTCAGAAAGGCCAAAGCAGCAATGGAACTCAGGCTGGCAACAAAAATTAATGACAACAAACAGTCCTTCAGGTATATAGGGAGCAAAAAGAAGGTGCAGGGTAACATAGGACACCTACAGCACAGGCTAGGGCAATTGGTGACAGATAGGAGGAACAAGGCTGAACTCTTCAATGAGTTTTTTGCCTCTGCATTCCTGAACACAGATCAAGACAATCTCCCAATTGCATTATAGATAGGCACCGGCCCACCAACGGTCAGCACTGACCTAGCAAAGGGACACTTGGAGGGCCTGAATGTGTTTAAGTCAGCAGACCCGGATGATCTTCATCCAAGGGTGCTGAAGGAAATGGCCAGTGTCATAGCAGACATGAACAACGCATGCCCCCAGAGGCTGGTGGGGCATGGCAACCGCCCGCAGATGGTGGCAATGGTGGCGGCAGCAGGGGCATGGCAGCGGTGAGCGGGGAGCTCCCGCAGGCGGCCACAGAAGTGTTAGCAGTGGAGATGACGGGGGGTAGCAAGTGCCAACCAGCAGTCAGTGACCACCCGCAGACACCGCTGGCAGCATTAGCCACAGCCAACAGCAATCAGCGACCACCCACAGACACCAGGAGGGGTGGTGAACAGCAACTGCCTGCAGGCACCTCTGGCAGTGGCAGCAGCAGCTGATCACAGGGGGTGCACATGCACCCACATGCACTCCCTATGTGTCGCCAATGATAGCAGAGCACAGCTATTTGAGCACTCTTGGCACTCAGGTCAGGTCCCAGAGGACTAGAAAA